GCAGAACAGGAGTCAGCCACCTGACTGTGGGTCGGCAGTAAATTGTCATCAGCAGCTACTATGGTAGATGTTCATCTGAGCGTATGTGTGTGTGTGCATGTGTGTGTGTGAGAGAGAGAGAGAGACAGAGAGACGGAGAGAGACAGAGAGAGAGGGAAGGAGGTGGGAGGGTGCCTGTTACAAGGTTGATTCCCACACGGGGTGTGGACGTGAGTGAAGAACCAAAACAATGATTCTTGGATTTTGCTGTACATTAGAACTGCCCTGGAGATTTAAATTCCCTGATACCCATGTTGTCCTCCATACTGATTAAGTCAGAATCTCTGGGGGTTGGACCCAGGCATTGGCATTTTTTAAAATTCCCAAATGATTCCAACGAGTTAAAGAGCAGCAGACTAGAAGATGTTTTGGGTAAACGAGGGTGTTTACCAGGAGCAACTCTGACTGATATGCCTCCGGGGAAGGAGCGCTTTTGCGGGACAGCTGCAGGCTGAAATGTTTTGCAGAGGGAGTGAGTTATACAGTCGATTTCCAAAGAGCATTACCATAGCAAGCACTTTGGTGATGATCTCATTCAATGTCTTCCAGCCGCAGAGACCTGGAGAGAGGCAGTGACTTGCCCAGGATCACACGCCTGTCAGTGTGTGGATGCAAAGAGAACGCAAGTCTCCTGCCACCTAGCTGGCCTCCTGCACAAGGAGTAAGGTGGTGTTGATGGGGGTGGGGTGGGGTGGGATGTGCACACCTGTTTATGTGTGTATGTACATACGTGTGTGTATATAAGTATAAATGTGCATGCATCTGGAGGACGTTCTTTCTTATAAAAGCCTTCACATGAAGGTACCTAACGTTCTTCCTTTTTATTTTTGTTTAAACGTCATTCACATTCTGGGGGCCACACCCCATAGCATAAGTTGTTTCCAGATTTTTAAAGCTAGAACAATTGGCTTATTGATATTTTGACTTTGGTGTGTGGGGAGAGGAATTTTTTTTTCATCTTGCCAGTGAACTTAACGAAGGAGCAAGGTGCGGAGACACAGCATTTGCTGTGAAACAGCCTGGAATACCCAGCATTTTTGCATGTGTTTTAACAGGCCAATGGAAATTCTGATTCAAATCTGACTTCTAGCCAAGAGACTTGTAAAGAAATAAGAATTGGATCATTTGCAGTTTAATTAATATGTTTTTGCTAAGGCAGAAACGTGCTGTTCTTTAGCGGCCATCTCCCATCTTGGCTTTGCTCTGACAAAACCACCCCAGAAGTGAGGTCTATTCAGTCTGTAGTCTGCAAAGGACAACTTTCCAAAGGGTAGAATGAGCAAAACCCCATTCAGTCAGCGGTCCAAGCTGAGACACAGCTGAGCACAACCTAAAAGCCTGCATGGTGGGTCTTTTCCCGCTGGCTGCAGTGCCATTGAGTCTGCCCCCTCTGAGGGTCTCAAGCGGCATCCGCCAGGGAGGGCATCAATGCAAGATGATGAAAGAGAGACAGGCAGTTCCTCTAGCTTAATGCCAACTCAACTCCTATCTCTGAGCAGGGAGCAATACAGGCTTAGACACTTTAAATGGGAAATGGTGCTTCTGAGAAGGGAGAAGAACTTCAGGCCCAAGGTGGAAAGTAAAAAGTCACAGTCATTCAAGCAATGGTGAGGCAAAGCAGGCCAACGGCACTGCCAGTGTTAGGTTTTCCCTAGAAAGGGAAGTGATATGAAAATGGAAGCTGCTTTCATTAAAATTTGTGACATGTCTTTCAAAGTGGTAGCAGCTGGCGGCAGGGTCTGGATCAAATGAGATTGGGGTGAAGCTTTAGGAAGAGATTCCAAGTGAGGTTACAAAGAATCTGAATGTGGAAAAGTGTTTCCTTGCAGCCAGATCAGCAGTGTGCCAGCCCTTTACCCTCCAACAACACTTGGGTAATGAGCTAATGTCCCGATCAACACCTGCGGGAATTTCCCAGACTCAGGGAGGTCAAGTTTCTCCAGCAAAGATCTTTGGCTGAGTGAGCACATTCCCCTGGGATTCCTCCTGCTCCCCATATAGTCTGAGAAGACACCCCAATGCCCACAGGGACATCCTGGGGTCCCAGGCCCAGGGGGTCAATATTTGGGAACTGAACAGGAAAAGACCCAGACAGGTTCAGAGCAACCCCTTTCAGCCTCAGAGACCCCCTACCTCCTCCCTGGGGACCACCTGACCTGGGCAAAGGCATCTGTCTCAACTGCTGAGTTTCAGGAAGGCCTGGGCACAGCAGACTCTGGTGCCAGACTCCTTCCATGGGCTCCTTTGAGCCCTCAGTGTCTAACCTGCCCCTCCTGGCAAGTTACAAGAATCCAATGGGAGAAGTTTGCTTCTATTGCTAGGACCAGGCTGGGAGTTTCCTGACAGTCCTTCAGGAGGCACACAGAGGGGCAGCTACTCTGCCAGGCAGCCTGTGGGGTGTGGCTGGCCTTTAGGGTGGAGGTTCTTAACTAGAGGGGACCTGGATGCAATTTGGGGGCTCAGGAGATCTAAGACCCCAGAAAAACTTTTCCTTCTCTGGTGGGGGCACGGGGAATGGTCTGGGGCCTGGTCCTTATACCATTACTAATCACCCAACAAGGAGCCAGAGCAGACTCAAGAGGAGCAAGAGAAGCAAAGTGAGTGCAGGTGGCTGTGGAGCAGCTTGGGCGGTTCTGATGAAGAGGAGGGGGAAATCTGATGAAAACAAAGCCAGCCAAACCAGAAACACCAGCTCCAAGCGCCCCAACCGCCTCCTCCAGTTAGGGTGCTGCTAGGGAAACTGGCCCTGTGGGAGCCTGGCCAGAGCCGAGGGTAGAGGGGCATGCCCACAGGGCCAATCCTTGGAGAGCCCCTATCTCTGGAGAGAGAGGCATTAGCCATGGGAAGCCACCCCCACCAGAGGAAGGCCCCTTGAGTACCTAGGAATGGAGATGTGGCCGGGACAGGAGAGAGGTCAGATAGATGCTGCCCACAAAGGTCAAGGCCAGAAAGAACAGTGGCAGATACTCGGCCCGCATCATGAGAGGTAGGGAGAGAAGGGGCGTTTGGCACACCAGGGCTCCTTTGAGATTTTTCTGGAGTTGTGGGCCAGATCTCAGGCCAGGAGTAGGACTGGAAAGGGGACAGTAAGTCTTGTGCAAGGGGACTGTGGTGATGGTGCACGGGTGCCTTGGGGAAGGAAAGTCTATGGGGACTCCACCTGAGGGGGTAGGGGAAAGCAAATATTGCTTAAAAAAATGCAAAATACAAAAAAATAAGTCTTGTTGCAGAGAAAAGAGTAAGTTGGCTGGAGCCTTGACTGGGTGGAAGTGAAAAGTGGGGTCACTTTGTTATCCCAAAAGACTGGTTTGTGGCACCAAGGCACTAAATCAAGGGAAAGGAGGCAAAGGCTCTGGGGGCTCTATGACCCCAGCGGAAATCTGGCAGGAGAAGGACCAGGAGCACAGACAAGAGCAAGACACAGAGCAACAAAGACCTTGAGGTTTGGGGGTTCAGCCAGCCATTTTCTTTTCCTTACTTCTATGCAGGGCCTCTCCGGAAGGAGTGGGGTACGGGAAGGAGGAGGAGGGAGAGGAGGAGGAGAAGCCAGGGTAGAGTGTGCTGGTGCGTGCGTGTGTGTGCGTGTGCGTGTGTGTGCGTGCGTGCGTGTGTGTGTGTGTGTGTGCGTGAGAGAGAGAGAGAGACAGAGAGAGAAAGAGAGAAGGGACAGGGTTCTGTCTCTTTTGTCCTCTTCTACTTTGTTACCCCCACTCCCCTCACTTTCTCATGAGGGCCCTAATCAATAAGTAAATATTGATTGACCCGCATTGGTTTGAAGACTGCAGAGTCTTTATCAGCATTTTACTTATTTAGCCAAATAAATAAATAAATAAATAAATAAATAGAAGGTTCACTGATTTGTGGGTAATTCATATTGGGAATCCTTTGTGTTAAAGTATTTGGTCTTAAAAAATAAATAAAGTATTTGGTCTTAAATTCTCCACGAAAGCCCCCACCAGATAATCTACCTTCCTCCTTAAGTTTGAGGGGTCTTACCCCTTTCTTCTAAGCTTTCCCCGTTAGCGGGGACCTTACCCCTGGGGGAGAGGGGCCCTGGGCAGGTCAAGCACCCAAATGGGACAAGAGTCCATCCTGACGGCTCAGCAGGGAGGGGCCCAGTGGGATTTCCCGCCTGTCACCCCAGTCCTCTGCTCTCTCCTAACACAGGGGTCCTACTTGAGCCTATGGGAAGCAGGGAGAATCACAGCAAAGGCGTTTCTTCCTTAGCTATAGGGAGAAGAGGGCATTCCCGGAACCCCTTCAGGGACCTCAGGGAGCAAGCTGCCCTGGGGTGACCTTAGAACCAGACTTGCTTCTGGGGTGTGAGGCTCCCTGCTAACACGAGGAGACACCCGGAGGGTTTGTGAGTGCCCCCTATGCACCCCCGCAGCGCCCCTCCTGAGTCCCCACTCCAGTCTCAGTGACTCCCTTGCACCGGTGACCCCTCCTGCACCCGGACCCCGAGGGCTTGGGCGCTGGCCGCTTGCTTGCCCAAGGCGCAGTGGACTATGAGGCCGAGGCCGGGGAGGATGGGGCGAAGAGTGGGGGTGGGCGAGAGGGCACACTACCCTGGGGGAACCCTTCAGTCACAGTCCCGAGGGAAGCCAGGGTGGCATAAGATGGGGGGGGACTCTGAGCCCACAGAGTAGCTCACGGGAGCTCCTCAGCCTTCTGGCGTGCGGAAGAGACTCTCCAGGCCGGGCCCCCTGGTGGGCCAGCCTCGCGCCCACGGGAGGTGCGTCGGTGGGTCGCGGAGCTCCTGGAGCCCGCGCGGGTGGGTGTCCTGCCGCTACTCCACCCTGTCGGAACCTGCCCAGAGCTCGGCAGCTCGCACTCCGCGCACCCCTGCCTCGGGCGGGCATCCCCGCGCCTCCCTGGCCCCAGGATGCCTGCACCAGGCCTGGGTTCCTGCTGAGATGTGCCCGGAGCGTGGTGGGAGCGCGCGGACGCCGAGCCTTTACCTCGGTTGGAGTGGCTCAGCGTGGACGACTGCGAGGACTTGGACTTCTGCCGCTTGACGGTCATCATCACCTGCTCCTGCACGCGCTGCCTGCCCGACGTGCCTGTCTTCATCTTTTGGTCCGACGGCAGAGCCAGCGTCGAGCTGTCCTGGTCTTGGAAGCATTCGTATGCCAAGGCGGTCTTGAGCGGCGAGTGGTTCATGGTGGCGGGAGGCGGAGGCGCTGGGGCCGGGCCCTGGGAGAGCGGAGCGGAGGCGCGGCGGGGTGCAGTGCAGTGGCGGCCGGAGCGTGCTCTTCAGGCGCTCAGCGGCTCCCTATGGCCATAGAGTGAGTGGTCCGCGTGAGGGCTCCCGGCGGCTGCTCCTGGCGCCTCCACCCTGGCTCGTCCCTCTCCTGGCACTGGCGAGGCCCGCCCTCCGTCAGACTGGATATACCGCCCCTGCCCTGCACCACCCACTCCACTCCGGGCGCGCCGCGCGCTCAGGTGCGGAGCTGCAGGGCACTGCCGCGGCGGGAGCGGGCGCTGTCGGGGCAGGGCTGCCAGTCCCCAGTGCGGAACAGCCGGCCCTTTCTGGCGCTCTCTCCTCTTCTCTGCCTTCCCTCGCCGCGCGGTGGCTAGGGGAAACCCGGCAGGTGGCGAGGCCCCTAGGTGACGCCCTCTGTCCTGTTCCTGCTTGTTCAGGGCGGCACTGGAAGGAGGGAGACTTCTCTCTAGGAAAAAGGAGTCTTTCTTCACCAGGCCCCCAGGAGAGCCAGATGCCTGTGTCCTGAGGTCATGGCCCAGACCAGACCAGTGATGTGGTGGGTCTCCCAGAAACTCAGCCCCTGTCCCAGGGGAGTGCTGACTCTGAGTAGCAGACAGCCCATTTTGTGCAAAGACTGCTTCCAACCTGCAGGGAGTGGGTTTGGGGTGAACCCACACCAGGGACCAGATTTGAGAAAAAAGCACCACCACTGCCCTTCCTGGGGTTTCTGGGGAAAACATCAAGTGAACAAGGATTTTCTCTATTAACTCCAGATTTAGCCCCTAAAATGATGCTTCCATGTATTAGCAACTCGATATAAATATTTTTGAGTGGATGAATGAAAGCTAACTCATGTAAAGTCAATTCAGTCTAACTTGAATCCTACCCACATCCTTACTAGAAACCTGGAGTTTTGTTTCGCTCTGCAAACCATCCCACTGGAGGCCTGGTATTCTAGGCTTCTGTGTGCGTTCTCTCACACACACTGGAAACTCATGTGCAGCCATGGAGCGACATTCTCGGGCACCCACACCAGAGGATTTGGTGTGGGACAGGTGCTGGGTACTTTTAAAACTATGTCAATGGAAATCTTTCTACAAGGAATTGCACCCCGCCTTGCCTCCTTAGGCAAAAGATCATGAACATATTGGATGAACTTCTTGTGACTTAGGGTTTTCACTTTCGACTTCCATCAATGAATCGTGTAGCAGTGTGGTCCTGGGGGGTCTCTTGTCCCTGGGGGCCGTCACTTCTGCTCATAGCTCACACACTTCACCTTAAGTTTGAACACTTCCAATCTACAGAGGAAAGGCCATCAGTATCTATGCTTGCTGAGAGATTTATGTCCAGGAGGGATCAAGATGACTGAGTGACAGCCTCAGGGAACACATGACTTTTTAGAGTGGGTGTCTCATGCATGAAGCCCCAGTTTTCCTCCAGAATGAATGCCTGGTAGTCACATGCAGAGCAGAATCTTGTAAAGTAGTTCATCGTTTCCAGTAGAAATAGCTTCATAATTGAGGGTTGTGTCCTTAAGAACTTATAGGTCAAATAAGCCAGAGAGGTGACCAACATGTCACAGATACAACACTGAGACACCTGGAAAGGTTTCTCATCACCTACAATGTTAAGATTCTGCTCCAGCCATAGACTGTGGGGGCTGGACGCAGCATTGGCCATCAGGAACTTGGCCATCAGCCCGGCCTCTGCACTTTTCTAAGGAGAAGAGGTGTCTTGCCTGGAGTCACCAGCTAATACACAGCAAAGCCTCAGTTCTAATCAGGCCTGGTGTCTCCTGGGTCAGTGTGCTCCCCTCCAACCATCCAGCCTCCCTTATAAAAGTCTTATAAAAGGAGCATTAAAGTACAGTGCACACTGAATATATAAGGACCCAATGTACACATAACAGCACATAAAAATACAACTCCATTGTATCACATATTGGCCTATCTAAAACCTAATGCTAGCCACAATAAGCATTAATTACATCTTTAAATAATGATAACCTTGAGAAGGGCCCTGGAGGTCATTAGGATGGCCCAAATGCTGATCATAAAAGGCCCTACTTAGCCCCGGCAACTGAAACTGATTCTCTGTAAAGTGTTTTCCAGGTCTCATGTTCAGTTTTTCCAGATATTTCTCCATTATTTTGATATTGACATTATTCTGATAGTTAATAGCAGCAGCCAACATTGGCTGTGCTGTGAGCACCACACCTGCACACCAGGCCTGGTTCTGGGCCTTTCACACAGGCCACGGCATTTGAGTACTTAAAAAGATTCTGTGAGGTGGGTGCCAGGGTCATCATAGTTCTTTTTCAGGTGAGGTAGGTACAGTGAGGTCACAAACTGGTAAGTGACAGAGGCAGGGCCAAGCACAGGTTGCCTGGATCCAGATACTGGGCACACAGTGGTCAGTGGTGCTGGGCTCCCTCCTTACCACACCCCAGTGACCAGCAACGGGCTCAGAGCCTCATAGGGACCCATCTTTGAACAGCATCTATTGATACCTCCATCCCAGGTCATCAAAGTTGGCCACCCACTTCCCGTTCCAGTTGAGTCTCAAGCTTCCCAGTCTGGACAAGTCCTGCCCTTCACCCCCACCCCCCACCAAGTCTGTAAAGGAAGGCCATAGATTTGACAGCTCCTAAAATCTGTTCTAGCCCCTCGCACTGTCATTCTGATGCCATTTGTGGGGATTTGTAGAGCAGGAGAGTCTTGAATTGGTTTCCCATACCCTTAACATCAAAGTGAAGGGAGTCTAGAAGCGGGCTGTGGTGTGTAACACCCACCGGGTCATTGAGGTACCCCAGTTGCAGGTCCACGTTGCTCACATTATTTTGATCTAATCCTCCATAAACACCCCCCCCACCCCCTCCCTGAGGTATTATTCTGTAGATGAGGAAATAGACATGGCCTGATTCCCACCTGGGAAGAAAGGACAGTTAAATCACACATTTGGGTCAAAGAGAGGGGGCATATCCAGCTTGGAAATGTTGGTTTGGGGCTTAAGGGTATGGTTTTGAGCCAACAGGCCCGAGGTTTATCCACCACCCACATGGGCCCCACCTCAGAAACAGACGAGAGAACAGAGACACATTCCTGGCTCAAGGAGCAAACTTTGAGGAGGCGCAGGCACAGGAGCCGAGCCCTGAAGTGGCTTGTTTTCATTTATTTCATCTATTTAGATGGTGACAAAATTCATTCAAACAGTTGTGAGTTCATTTGAGTTTAAATGGGGTGGGGCGGTCTGGAGAAACCTTCATGAACGAAGTTAATTTAGACCTGATTCTGAAATGAGTCAGTTTCATCCTTAAAGCCACTGGAATGAACAGAGCCGAATGGGGTTGGGGCTCTCTTTGTGGGATTAGATACCACATTAAGTGTGGTGTTAAGTGCGACTGGGCTTTCCTATGCCACACTCAAGCCCTCCAGTCTGCACGGCAGTGAAATATCCTGTGACCTCAGTAACAGTAACCAAAGTGGACTGTGGATTCATTTATTACACAAGTGCTGATGAAGCACCTGCTCCGTGACAGACCTTTCCGGGGTACCGGGGTGTGAAGGTGAAGTGGACAACAGCAGGACCACGCTGCTGGACTTTCAGAGCTCACCTGCAAGAGAATGGGGCGGGTGGGGGAAGACTGGGCCAGCTGAAGGCTGAGACGTGGCCTCTGGGATGCCTTCCTGCTGCTTCCTAGTCACTGGGATGAAGCTTGTTCAGTTCCAATCCCTCAGCTTCCAGCGTCCACCTGAAACCCAAACTGATTAAGATGCCCCCAGAGAGCAGGAAGAGGTAGCCTTCCTTCATGGATGCCATCATGGCTCCACCTTCTTTAGCCCAGTCCTTCTGCAGCTAATCTGCTGCCCTTTCCTCTGGCTTCCTGGACTGAGGCCATAGGGTCAGTGCCCTACTGCCTGGCCATTTCTAGCTAAGGCCCTGTGGTGAGCTAGTAGACTCCTCAGTAGCTGCCTCACACAGGAAGCTTATAACCTTCCCCAGTCTCCAAATAACCTGTGTTCTTTCCCTTCTCATCCTGTTTCCCTTTTAGCCCTCAACGCACTCGCCCTCTGCCAACGCTTGTCTCAGTGCCTTTGCACATCTGTGTAGAACTCTCTCCGTCATTTAGGTATATCTTTAAAAAAAAAAAAGAAAAGAAAAGAAAGGTTTATTTATTTATGTATACAAGAACCAGGGTCTAGGCCAGATATGTTGGGGGGGGGGGAAGCGGGGGCTGAGAGGCTTCACCAGAGACAGAGTGGGGGCAGAACAGGCAGATTGACTGAAATACACTGCTAAGGGGAGCAGCGGGCGAGATAGGAGAGGTCTGTTGCACCGTGTGGGTCAGCTCCTTGGCCGGGGATCAAACTCATGCTGCAGTGGCTGATGATAGCTTGACAGCACTGTGTCTTTAACCCCTGTGCCACCAGGGAGGCCCTCGCTTAGGTATATCTTGAGCATCTCAGGGGTTACACACCATGTCAGTCCCTGACATGAAAAAAGACTGAATCCTGCTCTCATTCTAACCAGGGAGACAAAGAGTAAATTTGTAAATGAGCTAGCAAAATGGTAACATTATATGAATTCTTTTTTTAAATTAATTTATCTTTTTAAAGATTTATTTATTTATGCATACAAGATGCAGGGGGTGAGAGGATTCACCAGAGACAGAGTGGGGTAGCAGAACAGGCAGATCTACTGAAATACACTGCTGAGGGGAGCAGCGGGCGAGTCAGGAGAGGTCTGCTGCGCCATGTGGGTTGCTCACCTGGCTGGTTGGGGATCGAACTCGTGCTGCAGAGGCTGCGGATTGCTTCATAGTGTGGTGCTTAGCCCCGATTTATATGAATTCTGTAAAGGAAGAGAATAAGAGGCTGATGAGAATACAGAAAGGGCGAAGCAGACTTCGTGGTCAGGGACACCTTGGCTGAGACTAAAGCTTGAGCGGTAGTCACTGGTCTT